GCGGGACCTGGCGGGGGATTCCAGGTAAGGGGCGGGGTCTGGACAGCGTGGGAGCGTCCGAGTTGGGAGCATCTCAGATTTTATTGGCTAATACCCTGGGAAAGGCGGGGTTAAGGTGGGCGGGCTTCCGAAAGGGAAGCAAGAGGGTGTGTGGTCAGGTCCCCTGCCACCTCCGCCCCTACCGGGGATCCCTTACAGCGCTAGACCCCTGAGGTGGAGCGGAGAGCTAAGGGAGCCCTGACCCATGTGATCTTTGACCCTGCCCTCCCTCCCCGCAGAGTGGCGAATATTGAAGAACCGGCCGTTTATGGGCTCCATCTCCCAGCAAAATATCCGCTCCCAGCAGCGTCCTCCGATCCAGGAGCTGGGGAACCTGTTTACTGCTGACTCCTTGAGACCTGAGGAAGGGTGGGCTTTCGATGAGTTCCCGCTCTCATATCTCCCCAGTGTTCTTTGCAATCCCTCCCTCTCCAACGGGGCGGTGTCCTGGGGCTCTGGGAACCCCCAGAGGGGAGAAGCTGAACTCTCACTGGGAAGACCACCCTGAGGCAACAGGGCTGGTAGGAGCGAGGGAGAAAGGAAGGGAACCACGTGCCAGGCAGAGGGAACTGCCCAGCAGACTTGGAGGCTCTCTCAGTTTCTGGGTCTCATTCCTCTCCAGCCCTGAAAAGCCTCACCTGAACCTTTGGCTGGAAGCCCCTGACCTCCTTTTGGCGGAAATTGACCTCCCCAAACTGGTGAGTGTACCCTGGACCTGAGCTGGAGAATGAGGTTGGGCGTTCAAGGGAAAGTAATGTGTGCTTGTCGGACCTGTGTGAGCCTGGCTAGTGCTGCCCTCTGAGCATGGCTGCCTCCTGTCCCAAGGGGCCCTCAGACCCATTTCCAGCGCCTCCTGAAAGATGCCCAGGGCATTGTAAGTGATCAAGCATGGAGAACGGTAATTACCATACCTCACCTTTACCCTGAAATGTTAGGTCCTTTAAATATGGTATCAGCACTTGAGTCTTCTCTCTCCGGTCAATGATCTTATCATTCTGTGTCCTGTTGTCGGGAAGGGAAGGTTGAACTGATTCCACTGATCCCCAGGATGGAGCTCTCGGGCTGTCCCTGGAGATCGGGGAGAACCGCCTGGTGATGGGGGGCCCCCAGCAGCTGTACCATCTGGATGCCTACATCCCCCTGAGGATCAACTCTGATGAGAGCAAGGCGGCATTCCATCGGAAAAGAAAGGTACCTGAGTTAGGTGGACGGTGGTGTGGAGAAGCGGAGACATTGGGGGGCCTGGACTTCTGGGTCTGAGGGAGGAGGGGGCTGGGGCTGGATCGCTAGGTCCTGAATCCTCTCTTTTTCCTCTCCTCAGCAACTGATGGTGGCGATGCCCCTTCTGACCATGCCTTCTTGACCCAGTGTCTTCCTGTGCTCCCAAGTGAGGAGAAGGTGGTAGCTTCTCTAAAATTGAAATAAAAGATTTTTCCCCTTTGTTCTGTCTGTCTAGGAATACATGGTGAGTGGGAAGGACATTGGACTGTAGCCCTGGTGTCCCAAAGGGGTCACTGCTGCAGCCCAGGCCTCATCTTTTCCCCTGAATCTTCTCCCTGGCAACTGGCCTCCAGCCTTTCCCCTCATCAGTCTTCCATGTGGTCCCAGAGTGACTCTGCCCCTCTCTTCAGAACCCCTTGGCTCCCATCAGCCCCAGAAGGTCCAAGTCCCTCACTCCAGGCTCTGTGCGGTCTGGCCATTTTCTTAAATCCACATCCAAAGATATGCTTATTGATTTCAGAGAGAGGGAAAGGAAGGGAGAGAGAGAGAAACATCGATGTGAGAGAACATCGATTGGTTGCCTTCCATATGTTCCCAGACTGGGGGTCAAACCCGCAACCTACCTATGTGCCCTGACCAGGGATTGAACCTGCAACCTTTTGGTGCACAAGACAATGCTCAAGCTAACGGAGCCACCCAGCCAGGGCACAGTCTGGCCTTCATGCCTCTTCCTCCCTCTAACTGTCTAATCACACTGAAAAGTGTCCTGACTACACCATTTTCAAACCTTTTCTTAGTTTCTGCTGTTCCCTCTCTTTAGTACCTCCTCTCCAGGACACCCAGGAAATTTCTAATTGTCTCACTCTCACGGGACATTTCCAGAGCCCCTTGGTGACCTGATCCACACCATCATCTCTAGCCCCTCTTATAAGCTGCCCATTCCTGGAGTTCTGCTTCATGTCATAGTCACAACAAACAATTTCTTACTTCCCAGTTCTGCAAGTATTGTTTCCCCTGGGCTAGATACCCCCACCCCCACCCTTATCTGCCTCCCTGTCCAGTCATCCCTTTTTTTTTTTTGAGCTTTCCCTAAAAAGCTTTTCAATCTCTAAGTTTTCTCTGATCTACCCTGGTTGAGTTAGAATTCTCCTCTGTGGGCCCTCAATACCTAGTGTTGCTCTTTTTTTCCTGCTTTTTCTTTTTTTAAAATCCTCACCAGAGGGTATTTCTTTTCAGAGAGTGGAAGGGAGAGAGAACGAGAGAAACATCCATGTGAGAGAAACACATCGATTGGTTGCCTCCTATGCACCCCCACCAGGGTTGGAGATCGAGCCTGCAACCAAGGTTCGTGCCCTTGTGCGGACTCGAACCCAGGACCCTTCAGTCCACAAGCTGACACTTTAACCACTGAGTCAAACCTGCTGGGGCCCCAGTGTTACCCTCAGGGCTATGTCCGCTGCAGTATGACAATGCCTGATACCTAGTCAGAACTCAAATATTTTTTGAATATTTTTCCTTTTCCCATAGTCCTAGGTGTATAAGTAAATGGAGGAGCCTCAGTGGTAAACTGGAAGAGCAGCAAGGAGTCCAGTGTTATTGGAACGGAGTTGAATCGGGTGGATAGGGTTGGGGACTAGATGCTGAGAAGGGGAAAAAGTGAGGTAGGGTCTATAGGCATCTGAAGCGAACCTGGGCGCCGAGTCCACTAGAGGGCGTAACGCAGTCTCAGAACTACAACTCCCAGAGGCCCTCGGAGTACACCACCTTTCCGGAGCAAACAGTGAGGTCCAGCGGCCGCTGGGACTTGTAGTTCTCATCGGGACCCTCCGTGGGACTGAAGAACTCATTCTTAGGTCGGGAAAAGTGTGGGGCTGGGTCCTGTCTGCCCTCCTCTGTCTCCATGGTGATGGTTCCGGCGAAGGCATGAGATTTGGCAGCGGCTGGGCGCTCTTCCCACTCCCTCCTCTTCACCATCTGCTCCACCTTCGCACCTGGCCCAGAGCCGCGGCCGCTGCCTCCGCACCCAGGCCGAGGACGCTGCCGCCACAGGGTGGCGCGTGTGGACGGCTCTGCGGGCTACTCCTCCATCAGACCCAGGAGTCCGGCCCCAGCAGCCTCCTCAGTCTGACACAGAAGTCCAGCCCCAGCCCCCTCTTCCCCGGGAGTTTCTCAAACATAAGCAGAGACCAGTCGAGAGGCCGCGGCGGGCAGCGGCGGCCGG